ATAAAATTTATCCTGAGCTAGCAAGATGGAGATCATGTTTTAGGACTTTCATTTGATTTTAGAAGCCCATTCTCCTCTGGCTTTCAGTCTGATGGCAGATATATAGAGTCACATTTTTCAGGTATGGCTTTAAGAATGCAAGCAGAAGACTCTTAAATCCATCTCGCTAACAGGTTCACTCTTAATTGAAAATGCCTCTACATTGAGATTCAGAAGTTTCATTAATATTCCAGGGTCAACAGTAGCACTAATACATTGTACTCAACTTTACTTCTTTTATACAAAACAATTTCATTGTGCATTATGGTCCAGCACCACACCTCTGTAATTTAAACTAATTTACAGTTTTCTATATGAGAAACTAGCACACAAGTGTTTTAATAACTGTTGTCTATTGTAATGGTTGTTTTTCAGATTGCTGAAGATCAGGTTCTAATGGCTATAGTCTTCAAGTAATATTGATTTTGGGATTAATGAAGTTTTTCTATTTTATTGTTTTTTGAAATATTGGATGAAAAATTTGGATAAAAATGTATTTATCATATTTAACTCATTTGGGGAAGAGAAAGTGGCAGGAGGCAAAAATAAATAGTTATATTGGTAATCCTAAATATTGTTTTCCAGGTATTTTTATTACTTCCTTATTCCTGGGCCTAGTGCAGAATTGTTTCATCAGCTCCCTTATATTTATTTGGATGTAGCTACAAGATTTGTTCTGGCCTATGGTTTGTGAGTATAGAGTGGTACATGTAATTTTCAGCTTGGATACTGTAATTATCAGTGTGAGGCAGTCCAGAACTTTTTTTTTAATTTTTGTACTGTACTTTCTCTATTAAGGAAATGTGTATCATAGTGTCCAGAAGACACAAAAAAGCATGTAGTATAACCAAGAAAGAAAACTCTGCTTTAAGCCAGTAAGATGTTGGTGTTGTTTATTATCTCAACAAAACCTACCCTATCTCAGCTGATTAATTATTAGAATTGTTGCACTGTCATAACAAACACACTCTACAATCTATAGAATTGGCTTGGAGATTGACAATGAGCAATAAAGGATATTTTTGTTGCAAAACAGAAAGATAGTTATCTGTGTTATGCAGTTATAAAAACTTTTGAGTTAGAATATTGAATTACACATGATAATATGGAAGCCATTTAATATAGCCAATGAACTTCTACCTTCAAGGGCAGAGACTGGAAGACAGAAAGGTAACTATATGCATTGATTGCTACAGGCTACACCTGAAAAAACAATTGCAAGCTTTAGAGGAATTCTCCAGAATTCAGTGAAGATGTTTCAATTTAAGAAATGTAGAGAAAATAGAAGAGATCTAGACATTATGGGACATTTTAAATGGGGAAGACACAATAGCTTACAATTTGTAAAACCTTTGACAAACATCAAATCAAGGAGGTAACGGTCACTCAGATTGTTGAAATCTCAACATGTATAAAAGAGAACTATGTATGAACAAATATGACTAAGATGGCCTTAACATTCTCTTCAGATTGGTTAAACTATAGACAGGTTTCTTCCTTATTCTAGATTCCATATCTTTTTCTTTCTTTCTTTCTTTTTTGTAAGAGTCCTTACTTTAGAAAACTTGCAATCAAAAATTAATTCTCTACTTTTTGGAGATTTGCATCTTTTCTCAGCACCTTGCTAGTTTTAGAACCCAGGAATGTCTTTTTCAGATAACTTGGAGCCATCCTTTTGAAATGTCTTCATCCTCTTAAGTCATATACAATTTTTATTTGTTATTTGATTATACCTCAAAGCTGGGAAAAAATAAGAAAGAAATATATGGCCCCTATCTTTTAGTATTTGTGGGACAATAGAAGCCTTACTTTGGTAACCACCAATTAGCAAAGGCAGGTGGCCTAATCACATTGACAAATTTCCCTGATAAAATCTTCCAGAACATTTTTTTACTAGCTCAACTCAGTACTTGAAAACTCTCCTGCTTGAGTTTAATCTCTCTCCATTCTTGTAATAATATTGAATGAAGACTTCATTGCCTGTTAACGTGCCTGGCACATTTTTTCCTTGACAGCTATACTAAATGACTGAAGAAAAGAATCTGATAAATTCGAGATGGAAGATAAAATTTGAATAATGAAAAAGATATCAGAGAACACTTCAGAACTTACATAGAAGAATTAAGGGGAACTAATCTATTTAACTTGACTTGTAGCATCAATCTTCAGAGAAAAGTGATATTACAGAAACTACAGTAGCCAATCAACTATATGGATGTTTCTGGCTTAACCAAAATTATGACTTGTGCATGGTCAATTATACCAATAATTATCAAATGCATTTGCACCATGATAAAAAGCTTTCTTTTAGAAATAGACATGTCTCATAGTCCTGTGAAATTTACAAATGTAAGCAACAGGAAAGTAACAAACTCCATCTTGCAATTTATTCATTTATTCTAAAATAGGATTTTTCAAGAAGAGTTCTGCCTAATGTTAGGATTCTAGATGTCCTTAGGTGACATGGGTGATCCTGATATGAAAAAAATCTGATATTTGGACTTCAAGTGCTTACATGATGCTAGTATAGTAACTATGCAGCCCTACTTAAAATTTTATGTTTCATCCTCATATGGCTGTGCACAGTCAGACCATGTTCTTGTATTTGAATCTATTTTTATTTTTGACATGAAAAAGGGGAGACCACAAATAATGGGTAAGTGCTGAATTACACAGAGGGGAAAATAGTAGGCTTATAACATAGCTGCTGCCTCCTAAATTGCCTCCTTCACCAGCCTCTTATATCCAACTGAGAGACACACTTCAGTAAGCAGTCTCTACTAGTGTAATAGAAAAGTGGAGGAAACTTTTATTATAAAGAAGGAATGTCTATTGCAACTCAGCTCCTTCCCTGTAACAATGCATTTTTGCAGGTGTGGCAAATCATAGAATGGGTATGTTAGAAGCTATAGTGTAATGCTGTTATTTTTTGTAATTTTTCATTAACTTTTCATTTGTATTATATTTTATATGATACTGAAGTTTATGTTTTATGAAATATCTAACCATTCAAATGTAAACAACAGGAAAGTAAACAAAATCCATTTTGCACATTTTCTGAAGTAAACTGATGAGATGGAAGAGGAGAATTCTAATCCTAGGACAAGGGCAATTCTAGTGAGGTGAGTGATAGGTACATAATGAAGAATTAAAACGTACTTACTAGTGTGTAAAATTAGGAAAAATGAAATACTAGAACACTGCAGAATGATAAATTGAAAGCTTTCCTTTTTCAAACAATAAAATGAATCAGTGTGTGAATAATATGTCACATATGCTGGAAATGTTTTGTATATTAAACTGAAAAACAACAGGTCCTTTATCGTGGCTGATTAGTGAACAAATTTCACCAATATATTTTATGCTGTAACATTAGTAAAATCTGTAAATGTGAAATTAAAGAAAATGTTTTCTGTTATAAAGAGCTGACAGAAATAAGCAAAGGGCAAGATATATTTAAAGTTTTCTCTTTATATCAGAAAAGAAATGTTCTAAGAGAAACTATGTTGACATTTATACTGAGGTTGCCCATCAATGGTTTTCTATGAGAGTTGTCGCCTCTATTATAATATTAAAAAAAAATTCTGAAATTCTCATGAATTTCAAACAAACTGTTTTCTTCACAGAAAAGCATTGCGGCATAAATTCTTAGAGATAGAATGAAAACATTCTGGAAGGTGCTACAGAAATGGTCATCTTTATTAAACCAAGATCTGTTTATTTGAAACTATTTAAAATTTTGTGCAAAAGCCAGGATTAAAAAACAAAATTAATTTCATAGTACATAGAAAAATCCTGTGGCTTTACAGGAAAAATTCTCAAAGAGTATATTTTAGGGAAAAATGATTATGGGAGCACTTTTAAGGAAATGATAGGCAAAAATGTAAAGGTAGCACAACTAAGAAATGAATCCCTTCTAGTCTAAGCTAGTGAAACTGGAAGGTTATTCATTACAACAGCCTAATTTAGTTCACATGTATCCAAACACGATCTAAGAAAGATAAGAATTACAAATATGATCAGATTATTTTCCCAGCATACTAACCCAACAGAATATTCTTTCAAACATAGGATAGCATGTTATGTTAAGTAGAGGAATGACAAAAATGTTTCAGTAAAAGCAGGCCCTTTGTAAGTAGTGACACCTAGAGTGTTAAGTTTATTTTTAGGAAACGTAACAACAGAAACAAAAGAAAAATGCAACGAATTACAGCATATATGTCACATTTCAATCAACAGCAGCAACTTCAAATAAACATATATTTAGAAACAAAAAGAAGTAGACTGCCATCACGTAGCACAACTGCTGTTTTAGAAATTGTTCCTCCAAGTTGAAAGCTACACTTCTCTCTATTGAAATTCATAGTCATGCATAAATGGAATATTGAGCCATAGATCAAAACAGAAAAAGTCAAATTACAGAGGTGTGGTTACATTCAAACTGGTCTGCTTGATTAAACATGTAACTTTCAAAAATGAAGTGTTACCTTGTCGTGATAGTTTCACAAAGCCATTATGCTTAGTAAAACTTCGTAAATTCTCAAATACAGCAACGGTTTTTATGTGGCTTTTTTTTCTCATTTATCTGTATCTACCCAATACGTTCTTGGAGGCTAAAATTTTAATTCAAAAATTAAATTGCAAGTGTACCTAAGAGAACCCTGGGATATTAAAGGCTAGCTAAACTAACGTTAGCGGCGGCGGCTCAGTAGAGGGGCTGCGCGCGGCGCCCGAGGCGCTAAAGCGAGCCTGGCCCGAGCCGGCGCGTCCCCGGGGGGCCCCTCGGCCTTCTCACCGACCCCTCGTTCCCCGGCTCCAGGATGGGTGCGCGCGCTTCCGGCGGCGGGGGTGAAACCGGGTTCCTGCTGCGGTTGCTCGGGCTGGTGGTTCCGAGCGCTCAGGAGGCGCGGCCCTGGCAGTGTCCAGAACAGCTGCCAGCACAAGGTCAACGGCGTCTGGCAGAACCTCAGCAGCCTGTTCCAAGTGCCGCGTGCGCGCAGCTCTGAAATTCTTGACAAGGCTGACCGACAGGTTTCTGTTGGGGGTGGATATGTTTGTGGAAACCCTGTGAAAAGTTTGGGCAGAGCTCTTGGAAGTTCTCGGGCTTGATGGTAGGTGTGAGGAACATTGATCTGAAGGCTCTCTTCATTCCGGTGCTTCTCGAATTATGAGAGGGGTACCCAGGAGGGGTAGTCCTGGTGGGTCAGCGGTAAAGAATCTGCCTGCCAATGCAGAATACAGGTTTGATCCCTGGGTGGGAAGGTCATCTGGAGAAGGAAATGGCAATTCATTTCGGTATTCTTGCCTGGGAAATATTTTTTTTTTTTTACTTTATTTATTTATTTTTTCATTTATTTTTATTAGTTGGAGGCTAATTACTTCACAACACTGCAGTGGGTTTTGTCATACATTGACATGAATTCAGCCATGGAGTTACATGTATTCCCCATCCCGATCCCCCCTCCCACCTCCCTCTCCACACGATTCCTCTGGGTCTTCCCAGTGCACCAGGCCCGAGCACTTGTCTCATGCATCCCACCTGGGCTGGTGATCTGTTTCACTATAGATAATATACATGCTGTTCTCTCGAAACATCCCACCCTCGCCTTCTCCCACAGAGTCCAAAAGTCTGTTCTGTACATCTGTGTCTCTTTTTCTGTTTTGCATATAGGGTTATC